AAGACACAGAAGTAAAAAAAAAAAAAAAAAAAAAAAAAGAGCACAGAGGTCCTGCGTTCAATTCCCAGCAACCACAATCGGTTAATGAGATCTGTTGCCCTCCTCTGGCCTGTAGGGACACATGCAGACAGAACACTATATACATATATAAATAAATACACCTAGGAAGGAAAAGAGGAAGAAAGAGAGAAAGAAAGAATGGAGATGATGGCAGTTAAGGCTTGGGTGGTAATGGTGTAATACAGTTTTTGTTGTTGTTGCTCCAGGAGGGCCAAGGCTACAGTGAGATTTTGTGTTGAAAAACAACAACAACAACAACAAAATCATAAAAATGTTATGGGAGCTGGATAGAGGGTGCAGATGGTAAAGTGAAGACCTGGGATCTATCCCCAGCACCCAAGAAAAACCTGGATGTGACACACTGGTAGAGCCCCTGCCTAGAATCCCCCAGTGAGGGGCTGGGGGCGTGGCTCAGTGGTAGAGCCCCTGCCTAGAATCCCCCCAGTGAGGGGCTGGGGGCGTGGCTCAGTGGTAGAGCCCCTGCCTAGAATCCCCCCAGTGAGGGGCTGGGGGCGTGGCTCAGTGGTAGAGCCCCTGCCTAGAATCCCCCCAGTGAGGGGCTGGGGGCGTGGCTCAGTGGTAGAGCCCCTGCCTAGAATCCCCCCAGTGAGGGGCTGGGGGCGTGGCTCAGTGGTAGAGCCCCTGCCTAGAATCCCCCAGTGAGGGGCTGGGGTGTGGCTCAGTGGTAGAGCCCCTGCCTAGCGCATAGGAGGCACAGGCAAAGGCAAGTGGATTCCAGCAGAGCGCTCCCAGTTCAGTTTAAGAGCTTGTTCAAAATATAAGGTTGTGGGACTGGAGAGAAGGCTCGGTGGTTTCCAGCATGTATTGCTCTTGCAGAGGAACCAAGTTCCATTTCCAGCACCCATGTCAGGCAGCTCACAACTGCCTTTAGTTCCAGGCAATTTCACACCCCTCTGTCCTCCTCATATGCAGACATAGACATAAAACAATAACAATGACACATTTTTTAAAAGACTGTATGTCAGGGAGTGGTGGCACATATCTTTAATACTAGTGCTCCGGAGGCAGAGGCAGGCGGATCTCCGAGTTCAAAGCCAGCCTGGTGTTCAAATGACTTGTAGGACAACCTAGACAGAGAAACCCTGTCTTGAAGAAGAAAAACGAAAGCGCTGTCCTGGTGATGGCTCGGCAGGTGAAAGCTATGCAACCATGACAATGCAGAATTTGACCACGAGACCCCTCTTCCAAGTGGAAGAGGCTCCCCCAGTGTTACATATTGCCACAGGAGCCAGGGCAAACAGATCCACCACCCTGCGTGTCCTGGGAGAGGGTGGTGGGGACCGCGAAAAGCTCGTGTGGCTGCTGGGACTCACCTCAGGTTCTGAAGCTGGCAGCTGGCGTGTCTGAGGCCTTGGCAGAGCAGCCGCATGCCCCGGCTGCCCAAGGCGCTGCGGTACAAGGCCAGCTCGATCAGGTTTGGATTGGTGCAGACGGCTGCTGAGAGGTGTGCGCTGTAGACATCAGGAAGCGTGTTCCCCTCCTGACTGTAGAGACGCGTGTGTAGTGTTTAGTCGTCCACAGAATCATTATGCTGGACACAATGAATTCATTTAACAGCTCAGGAAGCACCTTGACCTTTTATAGAGTATTTCTGTCCTCTGTCATTTTCAAGTTCATCTCAAACCCCGACAGTCTTAGATAATTCGCCTTGAGCTTTATCCTCTCAGTGTGTTCATGGGCATCTGAGCCATCTTGCATTTGTTCTTCCGGATGGTCTCTTGTAGCCCAGACTGTGGTTCAAGCACTGTGTCGCTGAGGACAGCTGTGACCTCCTCGTCTTCCTGCCTCCATATATATCCCCAGTGCTGAGATTCCAAGTGTGAACTACTGATTATGCAGTGCTGGGATGAAACCCAGGGCTTTGTGCGAGCTATGTTAGCAATCTACTAACCGAGCCCCATCCTCGCCCTGATGACTTGGCTACAGACGGCTGCTGAGAGGTGTGCGCTGTGGACATCAGGAAGCGTGCTCCCCTCCTGACTGTAGAGACGCGTGTGTAGTGTTTAGTCGTCCACAGAATCATTATGCTGGACACGATGAATTCATTTAACAGCTCAGGAAGCACCTTGGCCTTTTATAGAGTATTTCTGTCCTCTTTGTCATTTCCAAGTTCATCTCAAACCCCGACAGTCTTAGATAATTCGTGTGCGTGTGCGTGGTGTGTGTGTGCATGTGTGTGTGTGTGTGTGTGTGCGCGCGCTTGAGGCGGGGAGTGTGGCTGTCGGGTCTCATGTAGCCCAGGCTGGTCCTGGATTTGTTGTGTACCTGAAGATGACCTTGAACTCCTAATCCTCTGTCCCTCACCTCCCAGTTGCTGGATTACAGCCATGTGAGTTATCATGCTTGACTTCGGAGAGACAGTTCTTTTATTTTATTTATCTATTATGTCTTCCTTCCTCCCTCCCTTTCTAACGTTCTGTTTTTGTTTGTTTTTGGTTTTTTCAAGACAGGGTTTCTCTATATGGCATTGGAGCCTGTCCTGGAACTCCTCTGTAGACCAGGCTGGCCTCAAACTC